TTAGTCAATAGCGATCTAACCATTGTCCAACTAACCGAGACTCTAAATCGAGACCGATTTACTTTGCTGTGGTAGGTTTGTTGAGTCACATGGAGCACATGAGAATGGACCCGAAGCATCAGTTCGCGGCGCAATACGTTTTAAGTCGCGCCGCCGCCGAGAGGCGGGAGAGAGAAATCCTCGCGTCTTCGAGTCTAGGTATGAGGTTAAATCGTAGCTAATCGTTGAACTCTTGAACGTTGATTGAATTGAGGATTCTGAATGTCAGGCAGCAACCGTGGTAACCACATGTACGATTCTCGTGTACAGGTGCGGGATTGGGTGTTTTGGGAAGTCAAGCAGGCGGACCTCAAAATTTACAACAACCACCAATGTGCCCTTCGCCGTCGGCTCATTCGGACAGCAGCAGTGGAAATGGAAGGTTATCGTCGGCCGGTAGTGAACCTGGTACGCTCCGATCTTGTTCCTCGTCTTCTTGCAAATGGTCGTCTGGAATAATCCGTGTAGAGTGCCGTGAATATATATCTTAGAGTAAAAACCCAGTCTTGATACACCGAGAACCGACAGCCGACTTTTTCTCGTGTACACACGTTTTTTGAAATGTATCATTATACCATTTTAAGCAATGATCGCCGAGCTTCGATGATACCACAGCGAGAGAGTTATTGTAGTAAATATTATTATTATTATCATTATTATTATTATTATTATTATCATTATTATTATTATTATTATTATTATTATTATTACTACACATTTATCTGAGTAAAATAAATCATCCACGAATTCTTGTGTGAGTAATTTCGTCATACGAACGCTCAAGCTCACTTCTCCGTCGTTTTAGTCATAATCGTCTCATTTTTTTACTAATGCGACTGTATAGATTGTAGTTTTGTGTAGCGCGACTTCACACCGTACTGAGACCAGGACCGCGCAAAAGCATACTAACGAGAGCAGACTTTTGCGCAGGTACCGGTCTGCTGAACAATAACAACAACAATAACAACAATAACATGGCGTCGCCGGGGCCGAGTGGCAACAAGCTGAGCGAGATGCTGCGAGCAGGAAGTCAACCAGGCTCGGTGCAACAGTACCACGACGAGATGCAGTCGCAGCAACAACGTATGGCAGTGATGGCCGCCGCCGCGGTGACAGCGGGTAAGTAAGAATCCGCTTCGCGTTACCGAGTCGTCGTCGTCGTTGTCGTC